GAAATCAACTCCTTCCTAACCCTTAGTAATTTACTCATCTATTATTACCACTCTGCTACATTATTTACTTCACTCAAAAATCCAACTGAAGTGACACCTACTTCCGTACATACAAAGCTACCCTTGCACAACCTTTAAGAGGGACCTTAAAAAGGTCAGAGATGTTAGGTAGACCAGACGATGCTTATGCGTACATTTACCCATCAAAGTAAACACCAAATTCACCCCAAGATTCAGCCATGAGCAGGCAGTAAAATCGGTCTAGATCTTTACTGTGGCAAATCGTGATCGCACTTCTGCGTAAGGTGACTACGAATTCGCAGGCTTTAGTACATCAAATGGAAACTTTTTATGAGGCTCGCTTTTTCACTGCGGCTTCGTTAAAGTACGAGGATTGCATAAAAGAACACCGGTGACCCGTGCTGGTTTGCCACCACTTGGTATTTGCGAATACACCACGTGGACATTAGACCTCGATCGTTCTTTCCACCGTTCAACGTCTAAACCATCAACAAAGTTAGAGCACTCATTTACGGTGCATTTAAACATCACAATTTGGCCCGAAAAGGAACCGCTGCAACGAGGTAAATACGTGAACTTTCAAAAAACGACGACTCGATCATTTAGAACAGGCGCACCATTTGTCTCGCTGTAGGATCCCTGGTGAAATGCTAATAACGCCTGCAACCTCACCTTGCTTCTCATCTACATCCCTGCATACGATTAAAAATGCAAAAAAATTTATCCCCTTTCATGTTTACAAATACACGGGATTTATTGTTATGACTGCTTACAGTGACTGCAAGTGATGTTGCAAACTCTAGTGCAGGTGCATTTAACAACTTAAATTGTGAGGCGCCAAAAAAAAGTGTTTCAAGGATACGTGATTCTAAACGGAAAATTGCGAGGCTTAAAAGATAGAGGTGAGCAGAACGTACTTTAACTTGAATCTCACCATTCCTACTCGAACACAATGAAAAAGTAGGGTAGAAGAGGCCTTAAAATGGCATACCAAAGAAACGCCTCAAGCCATTAATGCCACAGTCCCATGTGTGAAGTACGGCTAGCCATGTCCATCCCCCTGACCAAGGGTTGACATATTCGTCATCAATCTGACGCGTCCAAACAAGTTGTAGGTACGCTATTGGCTAATGCTTAGCCAATCATAAGGCGGCAACGCCTATTGGCGCTAGCGTGTGCCACCATTAGCTGCTGTGAGAGCCGCGTAGTCTTGCAATTCAGCCTTTAACGCACTACTGCGAGACACGTACGCTGTGAAGCCATCTACATTGTCTTTCCAAAATCCAATTTTTCATTACGAACGAGAGCAAGGCATATAATGGACAATGACTCGTAACAGCCATCTAGAGACGCGGGCTTGCTCGCTGCCACCAGAAAATTCGGATGTGACGAGTGGATACTCTCCATTAAAAAATAGTCAGAATGCCAAAGTGGAACATTTATATCAGAAAAACCAAAATAAGTTGAATGCTGGAGGTAAGGTGCGGATACCAAACAGTGTTGATTTGAGTCTTGCGGAGGACACTTACCCTGGTTGCAGTGACTACGATCCCTGTTCTCCCGCCTCCATTGATGTTGGCAATGGAAATAACAAACAATCACCCAGCGACTGTAGTAGTGCATTTACAGACGAAGATAGCGGTTGTCAGGTGTTCTACTTTGGCAATGCTCTTCGTGTAGCCTCGAAATGTCGCATGGGTAGGGCTTGCTCGGTCTCTGCACTGGATTCTCCATCTGTTCAGCCTTTCAACAATAAAGATGAATTTCTCGCGGCAATGACTGAAGACTTGGCGGACTGGATGTCACGATTATATCCTGACATTGCAAAGGACCTTGACGCAGAAAACTTCTTTGACCGAATCTCCGATGGTGTACTCCTCTGCCACCATGCAACTGAACTACATCGCTTGCTTGAGCAAGAGTTTCCTGTGAATCTGCAGAATGGTGAACGGCGATTGGAAGGTGTGCATATTGGTGGAGTAAGACCCGTTCTTCCGCCCAATCCTCCAACCTTCCAGTCTCGTGGTTTCAATGCTGCCAACTTAGCTGGAAGCAGTTTTTGGGCCCGTGACAATGTCGCTAATTTCATTCATTGGTGTCGAGCAATGCGATTACCAGACTGCATCCTCTTTGAAACTGAAGATCTTGTGTCTCGCAAGAATCCTCGCAGTGTTATTGTGTGCTTGCTGGAGCTAGCTCGTCTTGGTGGACGAGTTGGCATGGAAGTGCCCGAAATCATTTACCTTGAAAAGGAAATTGACAACGAGATTGCCTTGAGTGAACAGGGATTTGGTAGTGACCATGGAACCAATACTGTGAATTCGCCTTCCTACGATTGGACTGGTGATACACAAGATTTGGAAAATAAGACAATCAATGTGTCAACTGGGACAGAGGTGGAGACGAATACCTCAGAGTCTTCAACAGAAGCACCTATTTCGAAAATCCCTTTACCTGCCAAACCCATGGAAAGGCGTTCCAATAAGGCTGCCCTGTTGAGAGAAAAGAAGGCAAAGGAAGAGCTAGAGGAGCGTAAAAGACAGGAAGCTCTCAAAGCAAAGCAACAGGAAGAGGAAGAAATGAAGAATAAGAAATCGCAATACAAACGCCCTGTTATTGATATGCGGACCCTAGATGAGATCGTGAGTTAATTCAACCCACTTATCTTTTGGTCATAGATTTTAGTAATTTTAGCTTGTTAATTTTGAGTAATAATGTTTGATTGCTACTTTCTCCACTTTTCTACTTGGCTACATTTGACGCCTTGTCTTGGTGAACAAAGTGTTGGAGGTGAAACGAGAATTGCAAAATCTGGCGTAGTAATGCTGCTAGGGAAGTGTTGGTGGCGGTTGTGGTGCTTGTTCCTTAAAACATTTTGCGTCTAGTTAGTAGTTATTATGATGGAAGCACTGAAGCAAGCCTTGCGGTTTCATAACTGATTACCACCTCATCCAGACCATTTAAGAGTGGCAATACTTGCATCGATGCAGATAGTGAGTAAAGCCAAATCTAGTAATCAGATCCATATGCGGGACGGACAAACGAAACTCGCATCTTTAAACCCCACTCTAAAGTCTGGTCAAACCAAAACTCCTTCCAAAGGCGTAAATACTTGTTCGACTAAGACTAGTCTTCAGTGTCTGTTTTCTAAGGTTCAATCGCTTCCTCCTCTCCTATGACTCATAGCCCCGCGCTAGGCATTACTCAGCTCCATCGGTGTAAATGTGAGGTGACCGAATTTGATTTTACCACGGTAACTGCATCATTTTGCAATTTGCTCTGACCCAGATAAGAAAAATTTTACAACTAATTTTCCCCTAAAGTCTATTGGCTCAAATGGCGCTCCGTGATTGGTGGCCTCTCATATGGAATTTATGACTTCGATTTTGATTGGTGCTTTGAGAAGTTGCTGCTGTGTAGTCATTAACTTCATATTCCCAAAAGTCTAGTCGAAGTACTAAGAAAGGTGTTATCAGGAGGGTGTATCGAGGCTTGTGGGTACTCTCATCTTGGGTCGTGTTTTTTTTCCAGAAAGCATGCCAATTTTCATTTTCAACCTCCCATTTATGTGCGCTAACGGATCGTCTTTATTGTTGTCAAGCTTCTTAGCTATGCAGTAATCTGTCATTGTTTCTGAGTTGAAAAACAGTCTTCACAAGGAATGTCAAAATAGCTGAGCAAACGAAAGGGGAAGGTGATTGTAGGTGGTACGACGCTACTGTTGCCAACATTAACTGGCATTGTTGTAGAGATG